GGATGGTGAATAGACTTGACCCAATCAAGCAGCAGGCGGCACTTGGGCGTTAGGGAAAGGCTGTGGAGCGGCAGGGGTGTGCAGGGCGGCGCAGGGGGCGGAGAAGCAGGGCTAAGTCAAGGGAGGGCCCTGCTCGCAGGGAGCTCGCAGGAAGACAGGAAGACGAGGGCAGAAGGCAACGTGGCGGAGGGAGCTGCTGCCGGTGCCTGAGGAGGCAGTGAGGGAGGAGGCAGAGAGGAGGCAGAAAGGAGGGTGGGGGTCGGACGGCACAGTCACCTTCGGTCAGTGAAATTATTGGCCCTCCCAGGGTGCACAGGGCATGGCTGGCTAAGCACGTAAGGCAATACTGCATCGTCTCTGAAACACCCTTGCCCTTCTAAGTCTGAGAAGTGGATGCGAGTCTGATCCCTTTAGATAAAAGAAAAAGGAAGCCCCAAGAGGTTAAATACTAAGCCCAAATGAGCAGGTACGGACCAGGCCTGGGGCTGGCATGAGGTGTGCCTGGAGCCCCGGGGGTGCTTCCCCCTCTCGGCTGGGCTGCCTCTTCCTTCCCTGTGAAGCTGAGGGTGGAAGCCTGCAGTCTGTCTCGTTGACAGGGAGCTACAAGAGCTGTTCTTTCCCCCCACAGGACTGTTGTTACTGCTGTCCTGTCAGACCTGACCCGGCCACCCTGCACACAAGGGGAAGGAGACACCCTGGTCCTTCACAAGGGTTACGGGAACCCACTGTGGCAGTCCCTGGGTCCGCCCGCCCATCTCCGTGAGGGGCTTCCTCTTCTTCACTGACCATCTGCTTTGCCAAGCATGACGCCCTTCTCCGGGGCTTGTCTTTCCTGATAACGTGTCCCACGTTTTTGCTTCTAAGGATCGTCCTGCCTGTCATTCCTCCACAACAGGTTTGCTTGTTCTTCTGGCAATCCAAGGCATGTTCAATATTCTCTGCGGCACCACAAATTCAAGGGCCGCAATGCTTCTGCGCTCTCCTTTCCGCTGGGTGGTAATCCACACCAAGGGGTTCGTCTGGGATATTCATCAGTAAGTGTTTAAAATCTCTTCTCTTTTAGCATTATTCATTAGAAAAGTGCAAATCAAAACTGCATCGAAATAGCATCTCACTCCAGCTTAAAATAACAAGCAGGCATGCAAGCAAGCAAACATGGGGCTAGTTAGTTTTTACAACTTAGCTAAGCCAGGATTCTCCCATCATGTAATCTACGTATGGTAACATAATCAACTCCATCCGTAAAGCCTTCTGCAAGGAGCCAGGCAGTGGTGGGAGGAAACAAGAGTGTAGTGTTGCCTCCTTAACCTGCTCAAGTCCTTGATACAACTTCCTCAAAGGTGTGGCCTAGTCTTCATGTAAGTTGACACTTTAGGGAAACCAGCTCACTTCCTGGTGGTCTGGATCCCACTGATCTCTGCTTCCTGAACCTGCCATGCCGACTGGTGACCCAGGGAGCTGGCAATGGCCTGCCATGTTGCCTGCGGAACCTGAGAGCCATCAGTCTGCTGATCGTGGACTCGATCTATCTACGCTGCCAGCCACAGACCTAGCGCTTCTGACATCCACCCACGCCTGTGCATTTCCTGCTCTGTCTCCTTGCCGCTTGATCTGTTGGCTCCGGCAGCTGCGTGGCTGAGGAAGTGCCTCCTGCTTAACATCGGACCTGTGGACCGGAACCAGACTGGGCTTACCAGCATCTACAACTCTATGAGCCATTTTCCTGGAGAGAACCTCCTCTTTTTATTCACCTATATAAGCATCACTGGTTTCCGCTTCTCTCGAGAATCCAGCCTGAAATGCTAGTGACATGAAGAGCAATGATTTTTCTTGACTTTAAAATAAAAATTGAAAAGATAATGGAATCTCCAATGAAAATGTAAAGCCCTTTTGCACATATGCAGACATATACCTACACATTCAACGCCGGCTTGTTTTGCTTGCTTCACACACGCCGCTTTTTTAAAGCAAACAAAACATTCATAGCAATCCTGCTTGGAGCAAGTCTCTCGGCACCATTTTCCCAACAGCATGTGCTCGCTCACATGGTCTCTCTGTGTCTCAGTTCAGGCGTTCTCAAAGTATTTTAGACTTCTGATCACGCTGTTGCACACTTAACAGGCTATGGGGTGGTGGGAAGACCACCAATGTGTTTGACCCGCTTCCTTGCGGTCTGAGGGAGACAGCACACACAGGAGAGCGGCTAACGGCTCCGAGCTGAGACGACAGCTTTCGTGAGGTCGAATCCCGTTCTTCCAACTTAGCAGCCATGGAGTCTGGGCGGCCAGCTCCATCATCTTTTGGAGCCTAGCTTCTAGAAATGCCTGAGCCCACAGAGGAGCTTCCTAAAGATGCTGCGAGGACGAATGCATGGACAGAGCGGCTGGCTTTCTGTGAGTGCTCACGGGTGAGGCTCGCAGCTGCTGCCAAGCCTGACGGGGTGCAAATGAGTGATGAGGATGAATCCAGTTCTCGCCAATGCTTCGCACTGGCCTGCCCGTCAGTCGGCATCAGTGGGGAGAATCCACAGCTGGCAGTGGGTTTACGTTCTTGGTTATTTTTAAGGATTTCTGGTGGTGCTGGGGTTAAGCACTGCACGCCTAATCAAGGGGCCAGCAGTCTGAACCCACTGGGCGGAAGATGAGGTGGCCTGCTCCCGGGAGATGACAGCCTGGGGAGCTCCGTGGAGCAGTTCTATGCCGTCCTACATGGTCACCGTGAGTCAGAAGAGATTTTGCAGAAGTCTGGGAGATTATTCTGAATGCTGCCGTGGGAATGACCCTCACAAAACCTTGACTTCAGGCAAAACTGTCACACGATCAGATAGAAAGATCTATAATGCTCTGTTGCCTGCCCCATCTTCTCCCTGCAACTGTGAACCACCACCAGGCTGGATCCGAGGGAAGGACCTTTAGCTGCCTTGAGTCAAAGGGAAGGGATGGACCACCCAAGGCCAGGCACCAGCTCCCGGGATGCTCCAGCATCACCTGTCTTCACCATCTGGCAGGAACGATGATCTCTCCACTTCCAAAGGCTTCTGTTCAAGAAAGACTCCTGCTAGGATGTCCGTATTTAACATTTAATGGCAAACATACTCTCTCAGGAAGTGCCCAGAATCCCTCTCTCTCCGTGGGTTCCCCTCAGAGGCTCAACAAGACAGAGGCACGCCCGTCTCCAGAGGGCAGCAGGAAGGCTGGACTCTGGAGTGCTCAGCAGGCTGAGACCAGAGGTGGGGTGGGCCTGGCCAGTGACGTCTCTGTGGGAGGAAGATGCGGCTGTCTGCCTGTATAGAGACCTACAGTCTTTACAGGGAGCCCTATAAAGAGCCGTGGGGGTTGGAATCCACTTGCCGGCAGTGTTTGGGTCTGGGTGTGCGTCTCTGCGTGAAGTATGGGAACAGCCCAGGAGAACCCCACAGAAGGCGAACAGGGGGTGTCGGGGAGCAAGCTGATGAATGCAAAGACGTGGTTAGTAGAATGGGCAGCGCCATATTTTAGAGGGGGTGTGGGTGGAGAGAGAGACGTGAGGGGGGAAGGGTGAGGAA